ACACTAACCCAACTTTAATACTCAAGGAAGCATGCAGAGAGAATATTCTAATTGAGTATTTCTCCCTTAAACTGTTCTATATACAAAGGTGTCATGGTCAAATAAGCTTCAAAAACAGCTTTCTTTATCCTGCTGGAGAGTATGATTCAAACTAACAAAGACTCTCAGAGGTTCAGAAACACAATTATTTAAGTTAGCTTGACTGAGTTATTAAATTGTGTGGGTGTACATTTGTATCAGAACAGTTCTGTCTAAATCTCAACTCCACCATTCTCACAATATGAGTTTATCTTAAACGCTGAGATTTTTTTCAGTCTCTGAAAAAAAAGAAGACATTTATAGGAATGACCCCATGAATTTGATGATATAATTAAGTTAGGCTCTTTATGAATGGAATTTATCTGAGTGAATGCCATGTGAGAAGCAGTGAACATTTTGTTAATTATCTTGCTCTCCTATTGCTTCATTACTTTATCTGTTTTTCTCATAACTCTGGTAAGACCCAGGAAAAAATACCCTACTTTTGATGAATAATTATGCTTTCTGGCATGACTGTTCTTATACTTATGCTTTGTTCCTCTACATTAGAATGCAAAGTAAAAAATTGGTAGAATATGAACCAAAATTATTAAAAAATGTAAAGATGGAGGAAAAACCTCTATAGATTTTCCAGAGATGTATTCCAGGAGAAATGTTAGTTTTTAGCTCATGAGTAATGCATAAAATTTCGATGAGGCATTTTTCTCTTGAAAAGCAATACTTCTAGCCACAGAGGATTATCAGGTCATGGAATAAGTAAATTCATAAAGTCAGGTTTTCACACACAAGACTGTAAATGAGAACCACGTGTTATACTGCATGGAAAATGTAGGAGACATATTTTCCTTCACTTGAGGGTATCTGTGTGGAATGAAAATATAATTCCAATATATTTTAATTCTTCTCACACAAATGCCCAGAATATATTGAAAGATATATTGCACTGTTGCTCTGAAAATTTCCAGTGAGTTTATATGAGTATATTGCTTTAAAATGAATTCCATTTAAGAGTATTTATGTTAAAAATATTTAATTGCATTGCCAAGTGTCTCTGAAATAACTGAAGTATAGAATTAATTTTTTTCTTTAAATATTGATGAAGTGGATCAAGGTACATTTGAAATGGTAATTTCTGCCTCATTATATAGAAGTACATGTATTTTTTTATAGAGCCAACAGAAAAAAAAGATTATATAAGTACGGTATTTACAATTAGAAGGGGCAGATTAAGTTGCCTCTATCTTATATACCCAACGGCAGCCTCTAAGACATGGTTTCAAGTGGAGGTGGTATGTACATGCTGTTTCAGATGTTGGTAAGGGGTTGAGAAAAAAGACAACAGGAGGGTACTGCAGTCCCCTAGGACTACCATAACAAAATGATGCAGATGCAAGAGTTCATGAGCAACAGAAGTTTATTTCTCAGAGTACTGGGGACCATTAAGCTCGAGATCAAGGTGAAGTCAATTCTGGTTTATGGTGATAACTAACTTATTGGACTGATTTCTTTGAGCTGTTATGTCACATAGCTGATGTGGCAGTCTAGCTCTCTAGAATCTTTTTATGAGAGTACCAATCTCAATCATGAGATTTTCATAGCAGTCTTCATGGTATATCCACTTGTAAAGTGTTCAATTTCCTAATACCATTATTGTATGAGTTTATATCTCATCATGTGGATGTAAGGGAGACACATTCAAGCCAGAATGGGTGCATTACCAAGAAGCTCCCATTTCTGTTGGAAAATTCTGGGAGAGTATAATACCTCAAACATCCCAACTGAGGTAAAAGTTAGCCAGATTTCATATGCAGCGATCCTGCCAGCCATTAATTGGAAATGTCTACCAGAGGGTACTAACTCCTAAGGACCTCTAGTCTGAGTACTACACAATATATGTGGGTTATGATCAGATACAGCCCTACAGCAGAATGGTCCATGTCAAGGTCGAGGTAAGATATTGAAAATGTCTTCTACAGTTTGAATTTAGATCTCATTTCTTTTAACATAAAATCATTGAGTATTAATCATGTACTCTTCCTAAGAAGAGTGTTATCACCTCAAATTACTACCTATTATGGACCATTTTAAGCTGCTGTCTTCCTTGTGATATACGTGGTGTTTGGCTATGTTTGATATATATATATCCCATGGGGAGTGGGCCCACTTCAGATATTCTAATAAAAAGGTCAAAGGGATGCCTAGGAACTCAAGGCTTAACCTATTCAGTACACTTAAAATCCTAAAACACATAGCTAGATTTTCACAGAAGATATACAAAAGGTACTCAATTAAATTTTCAGTACAATTGCCCAAATTTGAACAAACCAGCTATATTAGTTACTTTTCTCATTGTTGTGCCAAAATATCTGACTTATTTTGGCTTGCAGTTTGAAGTTAAGGTCTGTCATGGTGTGGAGTTATGTTAGCAGGAGTTTCAGGCCACTAGTCACATGGCTTCCACAGTCAGAAAGTAGAGAGTGATGAATACTTGTGCTCAACTGTCTTGCTCCCTTATACACACCGTCCAGAATCCTAGCCCAGAGACTAACACCACCCACAGATAAGGTAGGTCTTCCTATCTCAATTAGCCTAATCTAGATAATCACCCACAGATGTGCCCAGAGGCATCTCTCCTAGATGATTCTAGATCATATCAAGTTGACAATATTAATCACTATACCGGTATGGATTGTTGCATGACTTTTCTTGGGGAATCATGAACAGATGTCTATTCATTCTATATAGGGTCCCAGCAACACAGTGAAGAAATGTTTCCACCAAAGTCTTTCTCGATAAGCCAATGACTTTATTGGAGATACTTAAAAGAACACGAATGGGGGGTGGCTACTCATGGAGCATGGGTTGCCCACAGGTATCTAGCACCAAAACGCCCATTCCAACATGGGTGACAACTCATGATAGCCCCATGCCTCAAACTTCTGAACTGAACTTGCAGTCAGTTCCGTAAAAGCAAACACAGCAGCAAGGTATAGTACAGCATGGAAAGATTCCATCATGTGTATCACGTTTTCCCCCGAAAAAGCAATGCTGAGTATAGAGGGATGGATGGGAAGCACTATTTTATTTAACCCACTACAATCCAGTAGTGCTCTAGGAGTTGTCTTGCTCCCTCCTCCTGGGGGTGATGGTGGATGCTGTCATCCACAGCTTTGTCACTAGCTGCTAAGAAGGTGGTGGATTGAGCAATATACACAACTGTTCTTGGGGCATGGTTGCCGACTATGAGGAAAGATTAATTGTTCTCGTCTGCATCAGTCTGTCATCCACTTCTTTTATCCATTTGATGAATCATTGCTCAGGCTTAAAGTCTTCTAGAAGTTTACAATACAGCATTTGCTTTTGGTCAATGTCCATTAAGAACTCCAAGTTGATACAAACATTGTAGCATTTGATTTTAAGTATAACCCAAGAAAATCCCTTTCTCTGATTTGTTCTTTTATAATCTCCCTTTAATTGTTTTGAAATTTTATAAACCCGATTTACATACTTGTTTAAGTCATTTAGATCCACCTTGAGAAGAGCTCATACCACCATGGGACTCAGCATATTCATTAAAACCCCATTCCATTTGAGGTTCCTGATGGATTAACTGCCTTTTTGTCTTTCCTTGAAACACAGTCCTGCCCATTCCATCCCAGTGAACTGGACATCAAACATTGCCTCAGGAATATTCAGTTCCCTAAGTAATGCTTGTCCTTCCCTGATTCTCTTATGGTTTTTGATATTCATGAGACTTTTAGCTGGTAAAAAACCAAGTGTTGCAAAAGGGTTACAACAGTCAGTTACTTAGGAATTGATTTACGCTGTATTGCCTCATACTGTATAGCCTTTGTCTTCAGGTAGAATGGATAGTTATATCACACAGTTTCTTGCTTTCATGACCATTCACCCCATGTTCCACAGCTTGATAACCCAGGCCTCTTCCAAGTCAAGGAGTTCAGAAACAGAACATTCCCTGATTGCATTGGTTTTCTGCAATTGGTCATTATTAAGGTTCCCATTTAATGCTGAAACAGGGATTTCAATTTCCCTTCCTGTCTTAGAGACTAGACAAAATGGTATCTTTTACCATTTCTACCTCAGACTTTCCCTTCTCATTTTCCTCTTCTTCTGCTGGTTCCAAATCTCTGGATTCCAGGTCTCTCTCTCTCTCTCTCTCTCTCTCTCTCTCTCTCTCTCTCTCTCTCTCTCTCTCTCTCTCTCTCACCTTCAGTAAGAATAGCAAGCTAACACTTCCATCATTCCTTTCTCTCATCTCCAAATTTTCTATCAAATCAGAGGCTAATGTAAATGGTAGAATCTATGTCTCTTTTGCTCATTATAATTCCTCCCTTACACAGGCAAGTTTGTTTTTTTGGGGGTGGGCGGGGTAAAGAGCTGAGTCTCAGTCGCATGTCTTAGCAGTCACAACAAAGACCACACAACTGATTCCACAGCCACATCCAAAAATTATGTTGCAATACTATTTAGGGGGAATCCCCATTCCTTATTGACAGACTACACTCAATAGCATGCCATCCCATAACGCACAGAGAAAGACAGCCACCTTAGTGTTCCACCTTAGGATTATACACTTTCAGATAGCTTGACCTTGGTTGCAAGTCTTATCACTCATTGAAAGGAGCATACAACTTATACTACAACAAGAAGGTACACCATTTCTTTGTGAATTGGCCAAGGTAGCCACATTGAGGCTGTTTACATAGTGCTCAGTCTCAGGCTGTTCAGCCTAAGTTGCATGTCTTACCACCCATTACATAATCCAGGCCCCTGTGTCTCCCCAGCTCATGTGTGGTTCTGTTGGGCCCTGTTTTGTCTGACTGTATTGTGTGACTTTTGGAGAGATGGGTTCAACTGTCTATTCACAATAGGTAGGGCACCAACAACAGACCAAATAAATAGTTCCAGCCAACTCTAGCTTGATGAGTTGATAAATTTATTGCAGTTATTTTACAGGGGTATTGGTGAGAGGTTGCTTACAGAGTGCATTTGTGACTGAAATGCAGCTTTATCTCCTTGTCTTATCATGAGTGAGAAATCATGAATGCCACATCTTTGTATAACTTGTAGATGGCCCCAGCAGCCATCTCTTTTCTCCCGGACAGTTGTTTACTGCTTAGATAACCCTGCATATGCATCCTGTGAATCCTGTACCTTTCCAGAATTTTCTGAGTTCACTGAGTTTCATTAGCTACCCAAGTCTTATAAGCCACCCTTTCACTCCAGGCGGGAATATTTCAATTAGGAGGAAATAGCTACACAACAAACTTTTCTTTTAAATCAAGAAGCTTAATTCTCCAGAGGGAAAAAATTCAACAGAAAAATTTCAGTGCTACATAATTAAAGCAAAATTTACTCAGATTAAAAAAATGTTCTTATAAAAAGAAATGACCTTGCCCATATAGTGAGTCATATTTTCCCTAGAGTTTCTTTGAGAGTGTGGCTAACCAACACATTGTGTGATATGTCAGAAGTACTTCTGACACAAGATAAACTCTATTCTGAAAGAAAGCATTTTTTATTAAAATCATGTGGAAATTTAATTTAATGTCCTAATAAAGTTGTGGGAATGAGTTCAGGAATCATACAATTAATTTCAAATATAAGTAAGAAAAATTGTAAAGCAAAAATGAATTTTACAATTACATGGATTTTGTCATTTATTCTTAAGCCCTTATAGATAAATATTTGTTAAAAGAGCATGTGTAGCAAAATGCACAAAACAGACTTTCTATTTCCTGCCAGTGTGCAGCTAAGATTACAGAGTCAGTCACAGAACCTGAGACAGCAGTGAAATTTAAACCTCTCAATTTTTTCTTTCTGAGTGAGCATAAAGATATCTGCCAGGGCATTTAACTTTCTTTAAACTTCATAAAAGAGAAGGCTATACTCAAGTGAACAAAGTCAAATGTAGCTGAATGTTTTCCTGTGTCCCGTCTGGCTTGTGGTCAGGACAAATCTCTCACTCACAGTTCAGCAGACTTTTATAAAATAATCACACAGAGGCTTAATATTATTTATAACTGCTCGGCCATTAGCTCATGCTTATTACTGACTCACTCTTGTACTTAAATTAATCCATAATTCTTATCTATATTTAGCCATGTGGCTTGGTACCTTTTCTTAGTTCTTCCTTGTCATCTTGCCTCCTCTGTGTCTGGATGAGGACTCCTGACTCTGCCTTTTCCTTTCCCAGCATTCCTTTAGTCGGCTCTCCCTGCCTATACTTCCTGCCTGGCTACTGGCCAAATCAGCATTTCATTAAACAAATGTACAAAAGTATTATCCTATGGCATTTCCCCTTTTCTGTCTAAACAAAAAGGGAGGTTTTAATTTTAACATGGTAAAATTACATATAATAGAACAGTTATCAAGCAAGAATTACAGTTACAATATCTAGTCTATTTGTATTTGGCAAAATTAAAGAAAATATTCTATCTATCCTATATTTGTGAGTCTAAAGTTTCATATCTAATTTATCTTTTATCATAACCAAGGAAAATTATAACTATCTAGTCTTCAACTACATCAAAGACCACAGAAGGATATAATATTACCTAAGTAAACAGGAAGAACATTGTAAGCAACATCCAAAAATCTGGAATGACAGAAACAGCTGCCTGGACAGTCATTCAAAGTTCCTCTGTAACATTGGGGCATCCATCTTCAGCCTGTAGGTCTAGAGTCTCTCAGTCACTTCTTTCTGTGTCCTGTAGAATATCTGGCAGTTTCTTCTGTGAAGCAGGAACCTGAAGGACCATTTTGCCTTGCAAAGTTCAGTGGTCACCTTCCTATGGGTCCTGCATATCCAGTTGATACAACATTTTGTCAAGCAGTCCAGGCAAGAACAGTTTCTTGCCCAAATGGCTATTTTTCCAAGAAGAAGATAAACGCTATATGAAGTATCTTTGATGTCCATATTTCTCTCTGAAGTAAATTGGTGCTGCCACGAGCAGATGTGTCTCATTTTCCAGGAAAGCCTAAGTTTTTAAAACATTTTAAATGCCATATTCTGTAGGTCTTTGAAGTGTTTGAAGATTATCTACCTAATTGAATTATATCTATGTATACCTAGAAAACTTAACATGACTATGAGTTTGACTATCATAGAAGACTAATTATTATTCTGTATTTTTCAGTTGTTCATTACAATTTAAATGAGTTACACAAACATAATACCTTAAACAAGAGTAGAAATATACATAAAGTAATACAAAATTAACTTTAAATTTGTATCAATAAACTAAAATCTATACCAATGTAAAACATTTTAAATAAGTTGTTCTTTAAAAGGAGGTTCAACAATCCACCCTTACATCCTAGCATATCTATATCCTATATTTCCTATATATCCTCCTTTCTTCTTTTAGAAGGATATTGACTATGACCAATAACAATTTGTAACCAACAACCTAAACAAAGACAAACATCCATAATGCATTTTTTTGGGAATGTGGGCATAGTTTTCTAGACTACTTCTTGCTGATAAAGGGCACTGTATTCTTATGGGGATCCTGAGAAAATTAAGAATTGTGGTCAAGTCCTGACTAGAATAGTCTGTGATATTGTATTTTTTGAGCCAGTTGCCTTGAAGCTGTTTGGATGTTGGATCATCTGGGCCTGTCAGTGGATCTTCCTTGATCAAACCATATTAGCCTGGAAGAAATCCATTGGTTTTTATCTTCTGTGGAAACAAAAGCAGAACATTTTTTCTAAAGCAATGTATCCTTGGACATAAATTTCGAAATCAAGATACCTTTAAAATTTACACATTGATTTAACTCAGCAGGTTTTACAATCAAATGTCTCTCTGCAGTTAAAAATCTCAAAGACAATATAATCCAGACTCTGTGTGATTTCGATCTTTACATGGCTTATTTTTTATATTACTTTTACTGTCTCTTTAAAGACTTTATTTTTTAAAACTATTTCTTTATATAACTGTCTATATTCATTTTTCTCTCTTCCAAGCCTACATACATTTTTATACACACTGTAAGCCATTTAAAGTCTTATTCCATCTGAATCTGTCTTATTGTGAATCTGTTGCTTTAAACTGCAGTGTGACTAGGACTGAAATGGCAGCTTTGGCTCCTGGCTGCGCCCACCTCAGCTTTCCAACATGGCGGAACTACGTTTACCGCCAGCTCTAGGGGAACCATGCTCATCGCTGTCTCTGTGAAACAGTGGGTCTATGCTTCCATCCAGCAGAGGAGGAGTGGACTGGGGGGAGAGAGGATGTGGGGGTGAAATGGAAGGAGAGGAGTGAAGGAAAATTGCAGTTGGGATGTAAGATAAATAAAAATGTTAATTAATAAAAAAGTTCAACATTTTTATCTCTCAGAAAAATTAAAATTACTTTGAGATTCCATCTTACCTCAATCAGAATGTCTATAATAAATAAATAATGACAAAAAATGCTGTGAGGATGTGTGGAAAGAGGAACATGAAAGACATTTTGAAAATGTCATATGGAAACCTACCACTGTAGAAGCTTCCTAAAATATGTACATACACACACAAAAAAGAGTTTAAATGGAAAAATATTTAAAAATGTTCCAACTAGACACTGTAATATAACAAATAAAAAGTGCAGTACCAGAAAATGGGTTATGTCTTTTAAAGTTGTTGGACAGTGAGGTAGTATAGACCCCCAAACATTATATGCTATTACCATTGCTCTTGGTTACCCTCCAGAACTCAACAGTAAGATCCTGTTGTTAAAGACAGCATATACTTGAGTCACAGAATCTGGGGGAATCAAGTTGGTTCTGAGCTGGAAGCTTTATCCATACTGGCTAGCTTCTAAGGTTCTGGAAAGTGCTATATATGATACTGAAAGAGAAATGTAATCATCAGTGATACCCAGCTGTGAACCCTGAGAACTACAATAATGAGTGGCCAACCTATCAAGGCATATTCTCTGTGTAATAATGACATTAACACCATGAGAGTAACCAGTCAAATTCAAATTTCTGATTGGATTTAAGGTCTACTCTACAAAATGAAACCTATACCTGACACCATTATTAGGACAGGAGCCTGTGGCTAGAAAGGCCCTCTACTAGGCTCTAGTGAAGAACTAAGTACTATTATTCTGTTAAATGGACATAGTACTAATTGACTTCTAACAACTTATCATTATGCCTATACATCAACACATATCTCTGCCTTCATCTAATAAGTGTTTATTTGCAGCAGATGGTGATTAGTGCAGGGATCCATAATTGGTTGATGGGCAGAAAATAAGAAATTATGGATCCTTCAGTTCTAAATGGGAGGGACACTGTATCACACTACTTCTTTCCAAGTGCACACCTTTAATTCCAGCACTTGGGAGGCAGAGGCAGGTTGATCTCTATGAATTTGAGGTCAGTCTGGTATACAGAGCTAGTTCCAGGACAGCCAAGGCTACACAAAGAAACCTTGTCTTAAAAAACCAAAGTGTGTGGGGGAGATGGAGGCAACTATATGATTTGGCCACTATCTTTGCTAATGACATCATAGTGATGGTGAAAGCCATGTGACTTTGATACTATCTTGGTTAATGTAATTACATGGCATGAACCAAATTGGTGGCACCCATAAACTTCTTGGTGATGTTGGGCCCTCAGGGCTTTACTTCTTCTCTATTATACTTACGGAGTAACACTGTATCTCCATGGCGTTTGTTTTGTTTGACTTCTACACATTGCTTTACACGATATATTTGGTTTCTAGAGAGTATTCCCAGCCATGTGCCTCCAATGCTTGCCAGGTATCAAAGGAAGCTGGCACTGGAACATGGCTAGACTTGGAAGGCTCATGAAAATGATCAGCCTAGAGCCATGTCTTGGGAAAACACAGATCCCAAGGAGAACCGAAAGAACAGATTTCCAGGTGCTAGCAAGCTGCTGCCAGTGGGCATCAGTTTTCTTGGGTAGGAGGCTGGAGATGCAGGATGTGCTCAGTGCTAATATCTGGAATACCCAAGCCCGTGTTTCTCTAAGATGCTTGAAACTCCTTTGCTCCATGCTTGCTGTCCACTCTTTTTTTCTGCCCCATCATGCCCTGGGAACTTTACTTTGGGAACATGCTTTTGCTTTCATTCTCTAGGTGCTGTGACATAAGCAGGCTAAGGAAAAAGAACATTCTCATATTATCCTTAAGGTATTTTAGATATTTTCTGTTTTTGTGTCTCTAAACCAATGGTTCTCAACCTGTGGTTCATGACCCCTTGGGGAGGGGTCATATATCAGATGTTTACATTATGATGATTTATAACAGTACCAATATTATAGTTATGAAGTAGCAATGAAATAATTTTATGTTTGGAGTCACCACAACATGAGGAACTATATTAAAGGATCACAGCATTAGGAAGGTTGAGAACCATTGCTCTAAAGTATGTATACATAATTCATGATTGCATATGGTAAATTACAATACGGCATTTCTAAGCCAGGCAGAGTGACTTACAGAAAATTAACTTTATTTTTTTTGAGTGTTTGATTATTTCAACATGTGTTCTTGAGATTTCTTTTTTTTAATTAAGAAAAATTTTCCATTAATTTTACACATCAAAGGTCCCCCTCTTCCCTCCTCCCACCCCCCAGCCTTCCCCTCCCAGCCTGCTCCCTACTCCTCCCCGCAAGAAGGCTAGGCCTCCCATGGGGAGGCACATCCAGCAGGGGCAAGTCCAAGCCCCTCCCCCTGCCTCAAGGCTGCGCAAGGTGTCCTATCATAGGTAGTGGGCTCCAAAAAGCCCCCTTATGCACCAGGGGCGGATTCTGATTCTACCGCCAGGGGGCGCCCCAAGCAGATCAGGCTACACAAGTGTCTTGCCATGAAGAGGGCCTAGCCCAGTCCCATGCAGGCTCCACAGCTATTGATCCAACTTTCATGAGTTCCCACTAGTTTGGTTTGGTCATCTCTGCAAGTTTCCCCATCATGATCTTGTTGCACTTGCTCATAGAATCCCTCTTCTAGAAAATATCATCCTGAGTAGGGTAACCCAAACTCAGAAGGACAAACATGGTATGCACTTACTCATAAGTGGATACTAGATGTAAAACAAAGGATAACCAGACTGCAACCCACAGCTCCAGAGAAGCTAGCTAACAAGGAGGACCCAAAGAGGGATACATGGTTCAGCCTGGGAAGGGGAAATAGATGATATTTCCATGAGTAAACTGGGGATGAGGGGTGGGCAATGGAGAGTAGGGGATAGGGGGTGAGAACACAAGGGAATGGGATGGTCGAGCTGGAATAGGGATGGAGTGAGAAAACAATGAAAGAGATACCATGATAGAGGGAGACATCATGGGGATAGAGAGAAACCCAGGGCTAGGGAAGTTCCCAGGAATCCCCAAGGATGACCCCAGCTTGGACTGCTAGAAATAGTGCAGAGTGTGCTTACCCCAGTGACCAGATCGGTGAGTACCCGAACTGTCATCACAGAGCTTTTCTCCAGTGATTGATGGAGGCAGATGCAGAGATCCACAGTGAAATACCAGGCATAGCTCCAGGAGTCCAGTCAAAGGAGAGAAGAGGGATTCTATCAGAAAATTAACTTTAAAAAGGAGACTTTACCATTACTGCTTGCCTCCTATCTAGATCAAAAAAAGTAATAGAGATCAATAGTTTATACCTTTGAAAGAAAGGGTCAAAGGGAATGTTTAAAGGAAATATTGAGAGTTTAACCCACAAAGGAGCCAACCTCCACCTAACTTAGGGTCATTCAAAGTTTACTGATTTCTTTGGCATATGGGGTTCAATATATGTATTCCAGGAGTTTTGATGGATGAAGATCCAGCACAAACACGTTAAAATTAGCCAGATAAAATACAGAGATAATTCAGTAAGTTCCCAAGTATTAAAAGAGTCACGTCTTTAGGAGCGGGGAATCCAAACAGATTGTCCTTCTCATGATCCAATACAGATATTCAGGCCATTCTTCATTAGGTATTCTATTTATATCAGATATATTATTTATTTTTTTAAAAACTTTTTATTGATTCTTTGTAGATTTCATGTCATGCATCCTGATCCCCCTCACTTCCCATATGTATCCATCCTCTGCCTTTGCAACCTTCCTCCCAAAATAAAATTTAAAAGAAAAACAAAAACAACAACAAAATCTTCCCATGGAGCTGAAGTGTGGGCCAGTGTATCACACAGTATTCCCTTTAGTCTATACATCTTTACTTGTGTTTATGGCAATGAGCCATTGGTTTGGTACGAGGCCTCTGGCTTCTGCTGCACTATTGATACTGGGCCCTCACTGGAGCTCTTCTTGACTATCCTGTTGTTGTCCTGTGTCGTCGAGATCCTACAGTTTTGGATCTGCAGGTCTGGCCCCTTCACATGCTCCAGCAGCTTACAGATAAGGTGGATGCTGGGGTGGGCTAATTTATAGCCCTGGTTCTGGGGCTGGGTGGTAGCTGGGGTGGTCAGCCTGCCAGCTTTCCCTCATCGTCACCACTGCCCCAGCTAGCTCACCCAGTGAAGCAGCCAGCAAGGAGCAGGGCCAGTTCTCCTGCTCTCCCGACCTCAGGGCCAGCTCACCTGTGCTTCTGCCAACAGGGTCAGCTCTACTGTGCTGCCCAGATGAGGTGAGGGCCTGTCCTCTATCACAGACCGAGAGACCAGCTCCCAGTCTGCTCTGGAGTAGCAAAAAGAAGACCTCAGAGTAGCGAGGGTTTAGGAAAAAGTCTTACCTGAGGGCTAGACCTTTTCTATCTGAGGGGAAAAATAAAGAAATACAGATGCTTTCTGATAGTAACCTTCTCCTTACTTCATCTTGAAAAATCTCTTTGAAAAAAATCTCTCTTCACAGTTTCCTAATTAGCTCTTCATCCCTTCTCATTCTCTACTCAACAGCTTCTCTAATTCCCTTTCACTGCCTCCACATCTCTCTCTCTACATCCTTCCTCTGCTCTCTCTCTCTCTCTGCACCTCTGCTGCCCTGCTCTCCTTTGCTGCTCCTCATCATCCCCTCTCTCTACATCGCTCCTGCTCTGTTCCACAGCCAAAATCTGGACAATTGTAAGTTACATTTTCAGAGCCCTACCCATTCTCAAAACACAGGATAAGTCATGTAGTTTCTCTCAGGCTAGTAAGTCACACTGACCCATGCATGTAGCTCTAAGTTGGTGAGGGGTCCCAGACATTAAACAATTGGCTGAACCTTGAGTGGTCACGGTAGGTGCAGAAAGGGAGTTACTGCAAGGACTATGTCTTGATGTAAACAGCCTGGCCTTGATTTAGCAATAGACAAGACCTGGGGATTAGTCTTTGTGTATATTTTGCAGGGGCAGCTTAGTCTGTTTTGGACTAGTTCTAAGGTCTTTGCAAAAAGTGTAAAATGCTGTCTTTGAGACTGAGAATACTGTTACTTTCCTGTGTCAGTAAAGAATATTCTGGTACTATTTTTATACATCAGAATTATATAGCTTAAACAGAAATCATCTTCCTGAACATCCATAACTATATGTGTGCCCAGAGATGTAAAACACACTACCAAAGAGCAGTGGAAAGCACCCCACAGCTGCTCTTATTAGGGAGGCATAGCAGTGGCACCTGAGAAGGTTACAGGCAGAAAACAAGCGATTTCCACAGCCAGTGACCCCACGGCTTTGCCAGGTGGGGCTCCTCATCAGGGAGTTGCACATCTGCTGTGGAACACTAGCTGTCATCTGCTGTATACTCCCACGGCCCTCGGCAGCTCTCCTGAGTGCTGCAGCTGGTGAGGGTCAGGGCCAGTTCTCCCTAGCACTGCAGCCAGTGAGGGGTGGGGCCAACTCTGTGCAGCCCTATCCTCACTGTCTTTGGTGATAACAGGAGCCAGGGACATCAACACGGACCACGACTGCAGCAGAGTAACAGACCTAGATATGGCCCTTGGTAGCAGCCTGGGACTGTAGAACACTATGGCCCTGGATGGCAGCACAGGCCACTCAGATCTATATGGCCCCAGCAACAGCATGGCCCTTAGACACTAACATGACCCTAGGTGGTGGCTCAGACCCTGGACATTCATGTGGCCCTTGGTGGCAACATGGACTATGGATATCAACACAGATCCCAGCTGTGGTTGGACCACAGACCCACACATGGTCCTTGTCAGCAGCCTGGATGTCACCATGGCCCCAGTTGGTGGTTGCAGGTCACTCAGATTGGCATGAACCCAGTGGTAACATGGCCCTCGAACACCAGCATGGCCCCAGGTGGTGGCCCAGATCCTGAGCATCTGCATGGCCCTTGATGATGACAGGAGCCTCTGACATCATAATGGGACCATGGACCCAGACATGGCCCCTGCCATAGCTCAGGCTCATATGATGCCATGGCACTGAGTGGCAGTACATGCCATTCAGGTCTGTATGTCCCTGGCAGTGGCATGGCCCTCAGGCAACAACATGGCCTAGTTGGTGAACTAGATCCTGGGCATCCGTGTAGTCTTTGGTGGCAACATTGGCCATGGACATCAACACAGACCTAGGCTGTGGTAGGACCGTGGACCCAGACATGGTCCTTGGCAGCAGCTTGGGCTCAAATGTCATTATGGCTCTAGCTGGTATCGCAGGTCACCTAGATTGGCATGGCCCCAGTGGCAGCATGGCCTTCAAACACCAACATGTCCCCAGGAGGCAGCCCAGACCCTGAGCATCTGCTCAGCCTTCAGTGGTAGCAGGAATCCTGGATATCAGCATAGATTCTGGCTGCGGTAGGGCCATGCAGATACATTATTTATATAAATAGTAAAGTAACTTACCAGATAGATCTCCATTTCTCATGTTTACCCATGAGAAAAGGAATAAGAACTAGGAACTCCAGTGGACATTCTGGAGAAGGAGACAAGGATGTGGAATATCTTTCAATAAAGTTTTGTCATACAGATGGGTGGCTATCAGTGAAGACTCTCTCACTGTATCTTCACCCATTGGGTTCTCTTCATCCAGGAACCTTAAGGAAGGAATGTCTAAGGCTTTCCTGTACACAGTCCTGGCCTGAATATGAACTAGAGGATAAAGAGTGGTCTTTATAGAAAAAAAATATTGTATTGTCCTACAACTTGATGTCTTTGTAGGAGGGAGGGTACTTACTAAGTTTTTCAGGTTGCCTGCCTCTGTTTACAGATGTACTTAAATAGATTGTGGGTATTGGTCACCCCAAGTCTAGCTAGGAAGGGTCTCGGTATGGATATTTGTGAAGACAGATACTTCTGTTGGCTTGGTCCTCCTTTATCATGCGTACTGACTGCCACTCATTTTTGGTGAAGACATCAGAAGGTGACTCTTCAGATTCAAATGTTCTGTTTGGTGAGGTACTCTAACTCATATATTCGGTCTGTTAATCCCTGTTCTCAGTGCACAACCCAAAAGATGATGAGTGATGTAAACAAATTTGTAAGGGTTATAAGGAACTGAGGAAGATTGGTGCGTTTGGTCCTGCTAGCTGTCACTGGATTCAGCATCCAGTCTGTTGTTGAATGTAAATCCATGGATGCAGCTTTATAAAGAAACAGCACTTGTTGTGTATATTGATATTTATTTCATGAGATAAAGATGCCTGTAGTAAAAACATCTAATGGGATGCTCATCCATGGAAAGGCTAGAGCAGACCCTCTGCTTAAAGATCTCTCTATAGTAACTCCAGCATCATAGTTTTAACAGATTTCTTAGCCTAGTTTTACCGGATGTTGCAAGCATCAATTTGGTGATGTTTTGCTATACATTTCTACTGCTTTATGTCTTCTACATATACTCATTCAAAACCTAATACAAGGTTATGGGTAGTGACTCCATGGTCTATATAAAAACTGCCTTGTGGCATTTTTTTTAAAATAAGATTTAGCTTAATAGTATGTGCAGCATGAATCTAAAGAGTCTTATTAATAAAACAAACCTGGGGCCAAGTATTGGGGTGAACACTGGAAGATCAGAGAGACAGAACAAGCCACAGCTAACCTCACCTGGCCAACTTCTCGGCTGGTCTTGTTTCCTCAGACTGGAAACTTCTGAGTCTTCATCCAAATGGCTCTCAGCTGAACTGTTGCTCGAAAGCCTAAAGCTTAACCAGCCAAATGCTTCTAGTTTCTGGTCCTCACACCTTATATATCTTTCTGCCTTCTACCATCACTCCCTGGGATTAAAGGCTCGCTTTCTGGGATTAAAGGCGTGAGTCACCATGCTTGGCTGTATCCTTGAACACATGGATTTCTGCCTCTGGAATGCTAGGATTAAAGGTGTGAGTGCCACCATTTTCTAGCCTTTTTATCTATTGGCTGTTCTGTCTCTGACCCCAGATAAGTTTATTAGGGTGTACAATATTTTGGGGAACACAATACCACCACAAGTATGTCCCTAGGAAATATTAATTTACTGGATTATTTTATGTATGCAGTTTCCTATATTCAGGTTATTATTATTATTATTGAAGTGGTATTGTGCTGCACTATTCTAAGCCAAACAACTGCTATCTTCCTAAGACCAGCCTTGTTTGCTTACAAAAGATGACCACCACTGGGTTTGTTGACTGTTCCTATTCTTTCATAGAAGGAGTGGGTAAAGAGGGTTATTGGATTTTCATTCTGAATATCTAGCTTCTCTTCCAGCCATTTGTATGCATTGGGCCCTAATCAATGTGGCCTTGTGGTTTGGCATGGGAGATAGTGTGTGTAGGCTGAGAAAGATCACTTATGCTGCTATGGGAAAGCTATAGCTTGTGTGGAGGCTTCCAGGTTTGGCTGCTTTGGGAATACCCACATCCCTGTCAGTAACCCTGTACCTACACTCAGTGAGTGAACCCAATACATGCATTGTTTCCCCAGGGGGATCTTTGGTGAGACTGAACTTTGGTTGAAGATTAAGAGGGCTAGATATTTTCCAAACAGAAAAGACTAGAAAGCTTTTGCAAGCTGTGAAGTTTGGAGGAAATTATATAAGGTACATAGAGGATGAATCTTAGAGATGATGCCTATGATATTAAAGTTTGTAAGGACAAAGATACCAATTACAAGGATTGGCTAAAATGTATGTCTAATCAAAGTTGATTTAGATATTTCTGGTTATTAAAATATTATGAAATAATTATAAGAACCAGACTTGTGTGACTGATCTAGGTATTTGATAATCACATTTGGAGGCTATTTTAATGTGGTCAGAAAAATTGAAAGAAAGACTATTTTTCCCCAGACCTCCAAGGTCAATGAGGTCCCAGGGGACTGTGGCTCATTTCTCAAAAATCTTCTTTAATAATGGAAAGTCAATGAAGAGGAAAGAGTTCCTGAGCACTTCCATGGGAAGCTTCAGTCACGCTAAGTTATCCTGACACTGATGGATAACCTCAAACTCCTCTCTAGTTTGTCCCTAGGAAATATTAAGGTTACTCTCAAGGCTGAGGGATCCCTGAGGACCAGATCCTTAACTGACCTTGACAGTACAAAAATAAAAGTTAATCCTGGCCATTGCAGTCTTAAACGTCTATCAGGAACGTATAAACAAGACCTAAGAGGATTGGTAACAGTACAAGGGATTGAACTCCCTTCACATTAGATGTAAGTCTACATGAGATGTTATTTAGACAACTATATCTCACTAAGATTTTCTTCCTGATAAAAAGAAGTTGCCCAGGTGCAAGACTTCTGATCTTGGCTCACTGTAGCACCTTCCCACAGCCAAGGGAGACAAGTCCACTATTGTTTTAACCTAAGAACTGAATGATGGATAAACACTTCTTTCCCCATCTAGAAGCCAAATGAGAAGGGCATTATGCTGACTTTTTGCTGATGCAATAGCTATTAAAAGGCACAAAAGCAGACTGTTGGCTCTGTAAGTGAGGGCACAGTGACATCACCAAATTGGACCACTCCATGGGTAGAAAGAAAGGCTTATTGGGAATCAAACCAGCAAGCCTATCTCTAGTGGGGCAGAAGATTTTATATGATAGACAGCAGAGTGCGGGTCTTTGGGCTGACACAGGCTGTTTGAATTAACCAGGAACTAGATGCACTTGTCTGAGGTAGTTGACCTTCAGGGGTGAGTTAAGGTGTCTGATAAACAGAAACCCACCTTATAATTCTGTTTTTGTCATTAGTACTGCCATTTGGGAGACCTCTTTGGATCTAACAGATTCATCACTCTGGAGGTCAACCTTAGAGGTCAAAGGAAAACAAAGACTCCAAAAGATGGAGGCTCTTGGGATGCCATCAAGAAATTCTAATGGAGTTTGATTTGGACATTTTAAAATCCTCTCCAGACAAAGGCTTCATTTCCTTCATACATCTGACAGGCCCTTTGGAGGGGTACTGCAATACTACCACACCCGGCATTCTACATTCACCTAGGAGAAGCCAGGGGATCATTGCCCCAATCTCATAATGACAGGATTGTCTCTTCAAAGGAATGAGGGATGATAAGGGAGAGGGGATGAGGTAGAACCTGGCTAGGCAGCTTATGCTACAAAGACCCCCAAAGAAAAGTAACCAGTTTCGTTCTCGTCTAAAAGCTAGATATGTCCTTGGGATTCCTAACAGTTTCATCCCTGCCAAAGGCTAAAGATGCTAAAAGTGTTTTAGGAAGCCTGATATCTCATCTAGTTCCTAAGTGATCAGGGTTTTTAGGTAGGTGGAATGTTAAAGTAGCAACAAAGGCCTTTGAAGAGAAAATGCCTCTGGGTCAAGAAAATGGAATCTCTGGCCTGGGCACAGTCTTAACATTCCAATGGAGTCTGATCACTCTCCTGGCCAAGGAACCATTCCTAGGAAGTTGGGATCACCTTAAGCTGTGCTAACGAAATAGATGGACTAATTAATTCTTTGTATTGGGGGCCTATCTCAGGATAATTGAGTCAACTATTACTGAAGGGTAATCCTTTCCTATTGCAGCTTCTTACTCCAAGACAGAACAGAAAAAGAGGGCCAATACCTTAATGAACTTGAAAGAGTGTTTTTTTTAAAAGAGATGTTTGTGAGAAATATCAAATATAATTTTTTTTCTATCAAATACTATAAAACATGTGTATAGGACAAGGAATTAAAATCTTTTTATCTCCCTCCACCTTGCAACATTTGCATGAAAATATTTTAACCCCCCACCCAGTAAAACCTTTGTTTACAAAAAAACTCATGGCTCTATTCTAGGAGTTTGATGACGTGAGCAGTGACCCTTTTCTCCTTGGAACTATGTTCCCCTTCCCTTTCCTCCTTCACTTTCTGTGCTCCAATTATTTTCAGACTAGCCAGTTGAAGAAGACTGTGCATTTGGACCATAGCTAATGAGGCAAAAACACAGCTAAAGTTAGAATAAAACCAAATGCACTTCCTGCCTCTCCGATCTCACTTTCAAGTGTACCATCTTGATCAAGAGTAAAGTTTGCCTTGTCCAGGTACTTAAAAAACATACTTTTGTATATGTTGGCTGAGTTGTGCTGTTTTCTACAAACAGCTACTTATATCTTTTTTTTCTATTTTGAAAATATCTCTTTTTAAAAGATTTATCTTTATTTTATATAGTGGGTGTTTTGCCTGGATGTATAGTTGTGCACCACATGTGTGTAGTGTCAATAGAAGCCAGAAGAGGGCATCAGATACCGTGGAATTGGATTTACAGATGGCGTGAGCTGCCATGAAAGAACTGGAAATCCATCCCCTGTTCTCTGGAAGAGCAGCAAGTGCTCTTAACCTCAGAGCCACCTCTTCAGACCCAGATATTTATTTCTTAATTGTTACTGGACACTCTAATATATTTTAAAATATTTCATTATGAGAACTTCGTTCCTCAAAAGTCATTGTAACAAATTTTAAAGAAATAATAATAATATATAGTATTTATACTTTTAATCACTTGTATTAAATGCCATTATTTCTATATTAAATCTTATGCAGCCTAGTTAGGTAACTGTAAGTGTGATCCTAATTTGTGGATGAGGAAGAGCAGACATGAAAACTGAGCAGATAGTCCAGGCTTCACACTGATAAGATCTGTAGCAGGTGATGTAAATCAAGAGCCCCAATCACACCTGTGCCCTAGATCAACAGGCGTGTGTAAAATTCACTTGCCAATTATTGTAAAATATTTGTTGAATAGTGTGAACTTTTCAGAAGTCTATGAAACCATCAATAGGCAATTTATTATAAGTGCTTGTCTTCTCACAAGGCCGAGTGCCATTTACACTTGTTTCTCTTTTAGGCAAAAGACAGAAGTAATGAAGAAATTTCTTCAGATGATTATTTTATTTATTTATTTATATATTTTTTTGGTTTTTCGAGACAGGGTTTCTCTGTGTAGCTTTGCGCCTTTCCTGGGACTCACTTGGTAGCCCAGGCTGGCCTGGAACTCACAGAGATCCGCCTGCCTCTGCCTCCCGAGTGCTGGGATTAAAGGCGTGCGCCACCACCGCCCGGCCAGATGATTATTTTTGCTCTGTCACCAGGCAACCATCACTGCTGGCCAAATAGAGCATGCAAAACTCTTTAATAATTGCACAATCATATTTATGGACACATATCATCCAGATGCTTCAGAGATCAAATACAAGACACACAAGTTCAAACCTCTGTAATGTGCAGAGGAAGACAGAAGCTAGAGCTGTCTGTACTAATTCGTTATGTACTTTTGGTCACAGGCATGTTGCCACATGCTGCAAGTAGGATGTAGGGACTCAGGGAAAGCATTCATCCTCTTGTATGTTCCAGACTCACGCATTCAGACAAAGTACTGTTGGCCAGTGTCACTCCATAAACAGCAGGGGGCATGCTTTCCTTTCTGATCTTTCTCCCTACACTGATGTTTTGTTGATCTGTTCTTGATCTGTCTCTTGGGGTATGTTATATCCTGTGTTGGAAATCATTAAATAATTTGGGTTCAAAAAGAGTGAAAATATAACCTTATGTTCACATCTTTGAAACATTTGAGAAATTCTTAAGTAAAAGATACATTTAAAATTAAAAAAGAAAACTGAAATTAGTGGATTTTGTTGCTTAATTGACAAAACTCAAGTAAAATATTTGTCTGAAGTAAAGGGACCAAATGAGTAGATTATGTCAACTTGAAGTCTACGAAGTTGACCAGAATGTTTCTGTAGCTGGTTCTGCACACACACGGATTGTTTGCAGGTTTCTATCACATAATCCCCAGCATTAGATGCTATTATTTTCTCATCTTCTTAGAGGTGCTACAACTTTAGCGTGTGAAAGAACCAGGACTTGTGATGTCTTCTTTGTACCATTTGTCCTCACCAGATATAGTCGACAGTTGTCTAATTTGGGAAGATTGTTTGGAGAGTGTAAAACATATTTTCCCATGAGGTAAGTAATAAATGTCTTGATATTATCCTAATTTAATGTCTGAAAGGTAAGCATTCTTTTTAAAGTTCATTTTTGAAATAATAGCTAATAATTTCTTCTCACAAAGAAAATTGTGAATCTAACACTATTTTCTATTTTAGAAATTTTTTTCCTTTGCAAGAAATAGACACTTCTAATACTTAAATTTTAGACAACCTCCATGCTTTATTTATGAACCTGGAAGAAAATGAAAAGTGACTTATAAGCAACATTTATTCACTTAAGGTAAGCTTTTGAATACTGCAGTTTACTGTTGAAATAGTGCCATAAAGCCTTCTAAAAATCATGGAAGACTGGAACTCTATCTGTGCTGTAGAGTATCTTCTGCTTGTGCCAACATCTCGCTGCTCTCAAAGGTCCTTTCCTGGCTGCAGTTGAGTATGACTACCTCCTGTTTTTCTCTCCAAGTGCCTCCCATGGAAATTCTTGAAAAATAAAGCAACGATTCAACCCACACTTTAATGAGTGGCCTGGAATCCCTATCCCGTTAGCTATCTCAAAAGTGACTCATAGAATTGTCTAGCCTGTGCTTTCCTAACATTTTCCATCCACTGTAAGTTATTTCTTCATCTTTTACTGCTTGGGAGCTTTTCATGTTTGCCAGCTGAGAAAGCAGAAATAAATGAGGCCTATAGTTTCAAATCTGAACGTGCTCTTTGAACTTTTTAAATGCAGTAGTGATCTAGTGTCTGGCAGAAGTACCTTTGGAAAAAATGGACAGTTAGAATGCAGGTATGAATTACTCACCTACAATTTACTTAATGTGAAGCCATGCACCTGACCTGCTCCTGCTGTTTACTGATGTCTTTTGTGTTCACTCATTCGTTTGTTACCATTTGCTCCTGTGGAGGCACCTTTAGGCCACCCAAAGACTCTAGGTACTTCATTTCAAAGTAAAACCAAGAACTGTTCCATCGGATAGGGCAGTATCTGAAATACAAGACAAGTGGGATATTATAATCATGGCTTCAAGTGTGTTCTCTGAGATAACGCAGGAAGGTGGAGAATATGCTAATTATGTGATCTGTGAAACTGTAAGTGTTCATGTATCAGCTGACCACTCATTTGCTTTATGGAGATTCTCAGGTTACAATTCACATGAGAAATATGTGTGAAATGTTATAGAGGACTGAGAAGTAACATTTTAAAGAACAAACTATATTGTAAAAGGAATTTCCTTGTTGACACATACCTTTCAAATCTCTGCTCCCTTAAACCTCAGCATTCTACTTTACCAGTAACTCAGAAGCCTTGTCTCAGACAGCATTCTTGATCAGAAGCAGAGCAGCTTGTGGGGAGGCATGGAGTAGATGACTCAGGATCTTGGTAGTTCTGCCGTGGTAGTTGTGGTATGTGACTTTCTGAAAATCAATTATTTCATCTCAACTTCATGCTTTTCTCTCTAAAGTATTTTCTACTTTACCTATGTCATGAGATTTTTGTTCTGAGCATTAAATGAAAGGATACAGAAAGAAGAAAAGAACCCTATAGATGGGGCCATTTGTCACATGGCTTGGGAATTATAAGCTGGATTGGCTTTTTACGGACTTTGTTAGATGCTCGAAATTATAGACAACAGAGGAATGCACTCTTTCTTAAATAAGACTTTAGGAAGTTTGTGTTATCCAAACAGAACTTCCTTCTTTCCCTGGGTTTGTAAGAACTGACTATGACTTATTAAACAAAATGACTGAATTATTAAACAAAAGAGTGGTCACTGGTGAGGCATACTCAAATATTAAACAAATAGAATTAAAAGGCTTTAATGATCCTATAATTGATTATTTACTATGCTTTGAAAAAACTATACATATTAAATTGTATGCAATAGGATATTTGAGTAAAGAAAACTAGCAGCATAGAAAATCTCATTAGATAAGAGTATCTTTTATAGTACTGGAATAATTTTGATATTTTTATCTGAAGTAGGCAATTTGTCCCTATTTCTTATACATGTACTGAGCATTCTTAGAGATATTTTTAGATATTTTATTAACAGAACCACTGTTTCAACATGGTATATTAATTTGAATTATATGGTATAATATTAAGATCAATGATATCAGGTACTATTGACTAGATTATACTTTCCAGATCTCAAAAGCTTAGCAATTGAAACATTTCCTTTTTTAAAATAAAAAGTATTTCAGGTCTTTTCTTATTTTAATTGTGTGTATGTGTATGCCTGTCTGTGTGTGTCTGTCTATGTTTGTGAGTGTGCCCACAAGTGCAGCTGCAGAGGCTAGGGGCATCAAATTTTCCTGTGAGTCTCCTGACATAGGTGCTGGGAACTGAACCCTTGCCATTTCAGCCACCGTGAGCTCTTGGAATCCACTTGCCTCCCGATCCCCAATGCTGTGGTTACAGACGTGCACAGACAAAACTGGCTCTTTATGTGGGTCCTGGGGATTTGAACTCCAGTCTCTTGCTTTCAGTTTGAGCATTCTTAACCAGTATGTAGACGAAATTCTAAACAGTCTTAATAAATAAGAAACGCAGAGCCAAATACAGAGGTAAATAGCTAAAGAGATCAGAGAGTCACGGCTACCTTATCTTGCCACCTCACCACTGTTTCCCCAGTGTTTCTTCCTGCCTGTCTTGTGTTTTTATTGCCTTTCTGTTCTGCCTTCTCATTGGCTCTAAACCCAACCACATGACTTCCTCGTCACTGCCTGTTTATGCAGACCTCCAGGTCTCTATTGTTGGTTCTGGGATTAAAGGTTCGTGTCACCACCTTGGCTGTGTCCTTGACCACACAGAGACTGCCTGCCATGTGATCGGATTAAGGGCGTGGTCTACCACTGCCTGACTACTGTTCCTGGCTCGCTATGACCTCTGATCTCCAGGCAAACTTTACTTATTAACATACAAATAAAATCACATTTCAGCACAAATACAATGTCACCATACCACCAAGCCATCTCAGCCCCTACGAGGCATTATGTCATTGCAGACCAGCATCAGAGTCTTGCTCACTGGTGCTGCTCAGTGCGGGACACTGACGGAATGTCTAGCTGTCTCCTTAAACTTGCCTGTTGCAATAGAGAGGACTGTAGAGTTTCCTATTGTCCTAGAATTAACACACATCACTTGGTCTCACATCTTTTAGACAGAATGAGTCATATTTTCTACCCTCCTACCTCCCTCCATGAAAGCACCAGAAAGTGAAATTTACCATGTCCTGGAACAGAAAGGAGTAGGAGCAGAAGCATTTGGTAAAGAGCTCTAATGACTAAAAGTGAAGATGGAGTTCATGGACATTAACTGGAGATCATTATGGTACATGAAATAAGTTAGTCCTATAAAAATAAGTATATGTTTCCTTTCTTATGCAAGAGCTAAGGAAAAAACATGAAATGAAGGTGAATAATTAGGGATACAGAAAGAGGAAAAGTAAAAGGGAGATAAGAAAGAGCAATAGTAGGGATGGACATGATGAAAGCAAATCATGTGTATGTGTGGAAATGTCATCACAAACCTCTTTGTATAATAAATTTTAGAAGCTGAATGAGAAAACTATTGCTAACATTTTCCTTGAGAGTTATGTGTTAAGTCCTGTGTGAAATGATTCCCACATAGTTTCTCATGTAAATCACACATTGAAACCATGAAGTCAGTTAAATTACTGCCTCTGTTCTAAAACTGGAAAAACAGATGAGAAATAGTAAATGATTCATCCAGTGGAACAGATGCAGTGAGGGTTAAACTGAGATCTGTCTGACCCTAGAGGCAGCAACTATAGACTTCAGCCTTCAAAAGTCTACAATCATGGATGTCTACATTAATGAGAAGGATATGAAGAGGAAGAGCTTATATTCCTGTGTTAAGCGCTACACAATTTCCCTCTTCTATTTATGAGAAGAAGAGCCCAATGAAGAAAGCCAGCCTGTCGGCCAAGGAAGCAAAAGAGGTGCCGTGTAATTCAAGCATCTTTATTCTGGTTTTAATTGCTTACCAAGCAGAATTATTCTATATAGCATGCAATTTTAGTATGTTTTAAAAATTAATGGTGAATGTGGTTCAGATTAGAGAGAAATTCTAAATTCACATGATAGTTTTTGAAGTTTTTAGAGTTAGGCTATATTTTTTAAGTAATCTGGAATTACTACTGACAGAAATCTTTTGAGGGTGATATGGAGAGTTTCCATCTACTTGACCTCATTTTGTCTGTGTTAAGGCCTTATATTAGTGTCTTTGTTACTGTTCTACTGCTGTGAAGAGATACCATGACCAGGCAACGTATAAAAGAAACCATTTGATTGGTAGCCTGCTTACAGCTTCATAGTCCATGATCATCATGGCCAGGAGCATGGTGGCTGATAGGCAGGCATGGTGCTTACATCTGATCCCCAAGAAGGAAGCAGGGTAAAATTGCATTATGAGGAATATTCATGCAGCAACTGTAATACCTGAGTGTAGGAGAACTGGATCTAGAGCAAGACACACCTCCAGTCACATACTTCCTCCAAAGCCACACCTCCTAATCCTTCCTAAACAGTCCTGCAATGACACTTTTTCTGTCCCTCCAGCCAGTTCCCAAATAATGACACCAAGGCTTCTTATTAGTTATGAAAGCTCAGCCTTAGCTTAGGCTTGTCCCACTAGCTCTTGTAACTTATATTTATTTTATTTTAATTGGTATTTATTTTAATCTGCATTCTGTCACATGGCCCATACTCTCATCTCTTGGTGCTGCTCATGCTGCTTCCTCTGCGTCTGGCTGGCAAATCTGCCTTCTTCTTCCCAGAGTTCTCTCTCTGCCCAGAAGTCCCACCTATACCTCCTGCCTAGTTATTGGCTGTTCAGCTTTTTATCACACCAATCACAGCAAATACACCTTCACACAGTGTACAAATACCCCACAACACAGTCCACCAACTGGGAACCAAAAATTCAAATACATGAGCCTATGGAGGTCACTTAAATCACTACATTTAGCATGGCACATTTGTCACAATGAGTTAACTAATATAGACAGACTCACTGCTGTGAAGAGACAGCTCTGCTTTATCCAGATACCTTAGCTTTTCCCTAATATTTCTTTTTTTGTTTCAAGATCTCATCTAAGATATCACATTGCGTGTAGCCAGCATGTCTCCTCTGGTTCCTTTCCACTGTGCCAGAGTCCCATGTACTTCCTTGTTTTTCTTAGTTTTGAAGCCTAATCAAGTGTCTTATAGAATGCTACAGCTACTTTCTATAATATTTGTCTCACGTTTAGACTGGGATTCTTTGCTTGGAGGAAGACCACAAAAATGAAACTTACATTTTACTCTTTTTTGTTCATTTTCCCTCCAAATCCCTTCCCTCCCTCCCTCCCTCCCCTCCCTCCCTCCCTCCCTCCCTCCCTCCCTCTCTCCTTCCCTCCCTCCCTCCCTCCTTCCCTCCTTTCCTCCCTCTCTCCTCTCTCTCTCTCTCTCTCTCTCTCTCTCTCTCTCTCTCTCTCTCTCCTTCTCCCTCTCTCTCATACATTAAGTAAATTTTTTACATAATGTTTTGGTCACTATCACCCTTTTGCTCCTCTCCCTCCATCTCTCCCTCTCTCTCACCTCCCTCCATCCCCCTCTCAACTCCCTTCCTCCCTCCCTGCCTCATTTCCCTCTATCCCTTCCTCCCTCATCTTCTTCCATTCCTTCCTCCCTCATCTTCTTCCATTCCTCCCGAATCATCTCTCTCCACTATCTGTTCTTTTTACAGATTAAAGATGTTTGATTTTTGTCATGTGACCTCTTTTGTGTAACAGGGGACATCTATGTGACCATTAGATTACCACTATCCATTGAACCCTGATGGAATCACCAGGGGATATACCACTGAAGGCAATGGCTTCCCCTTTCCCTGAATCTGCCCACAGGAAATAGCTCAGCATTGAGGAGTCGGGGGGCCCTGAGTGTCTCTTCCATTTTCTTATGACTGTTGATGTGTCTATTCTCTTGCAGCCGTTGGTGTGTCGTGGTTGAGAGTTTGAGATGATAATGGTTGTATATTTTCCAGATGGATTTTACAGCCCTTCTCCCTGTGTTCCAGCTCATACAATCTTTCTGCTTCCTTTTTCACTAATGTCCACTGAGCCTTAGAGAGGCTGATATAAATGTCTGGTTTAGGGCTGAACACCAAACTGTCACTTATCCTTAGCACCTTGTGAATCCATAAACTCTGAATTCATCCTAGCTAGTTGGAAAAGAGAGTTTTTTTCTCATTCAGGCTGAGAGTGAAAACTGTCTATGAATATAAACATATCTATTCAGACACTGTATCAATTTAGCAAATGAATAGAATCAAATTGTCCCAAGTCCTTAGTCCTCTCCTGCCATTGGATTTTGAGTAGGTCTTGACAGTGGCAAACTGATGTGGAACAGTC